AGGTGAAGTAAGGAACTGCTTATGAGGTTTTCCGTCCATTCCAACAACTAAGAGATAGTGAGAAGAGTTGGGACCTCAGAAGGCTTTTAGGACCAATTAGTAGGCTCTGTGTCCAGGAGAAAATGAATATACTTACCAGTAATGTTAATGCTCATCCACGGCTCTTCTGGGAGGCTCTAAATCGTTGAAACTCCCATTAAGATTTAAAACCTCAGAAGCCAGTGGAGGGTGACTAGGAGGTGAAAGCTCACACTACCAGAGTAAATTTGGGGATTTTTGGAGATGACTGTCTCCTTATTCATAGATATTATTCCCAAATACCATGCATGATATTGTCCTTCAGATCACAACCATCTCCATAGTACTCCCCTGAGACAATCTGTATGTCAGTTTCCTGGTTGGTAAAATGGGGATAACAGCAAGTAGCTTTCTCTGATATTATGGGTGTAAAGAATTAAGGTATTCTTTTAGGATGCAAAACACCTAGTATGAAGTACTGGTGGTATAGGCCATTCCTAAGGGAATGAAAGGGGAAGGAAGGTCATTCCAAAAGCAATGAGCAATAAATAAGACATTATGAGTAATGCAATTAGCAAGCTGATACCGGACATGAGGGAAGGAATGGGGAGCAAAAAGGGATTAATCTGTATCAATATGAGTGAAAAGCCAATGTCTGGGGAGTTCTGGTGGCCTGGTGGCAAGAAGCTGCACTGCAATCACTTAGGTACATGGTTCAAATTCACCAGATTCTCTGCCGGAGAAGGAGGGGCAATCTCCTGTACCAGCCAGATCAAATTTGACAGTACACACACATACACAAAATAATAAAATTTTAAAAAAAAAGAAAGAAAAGCCAATGTCTTTTTAAACCCCACTGAAATTACAATTTTAAAAATTTAAAAAAAAAAACAAACCAAACAACTTATTTAGGACTTCAAAGATCTTTTGCACTTGTATTAAATCTATCATCAGTTAAAACAGAAAAAATTTAAGACACTATTTATTAAAAACAAGAATGTTGTTGTTGTTGTGTACCCTTGAGTCAGAAGCAACTCATAGCTGACCCTCTAGTGGGTTTTCAGAGGCAACAAATTGAAGAAAATGGCCCAACTTTCTTCCACTGAGGTGGATTTGAACTGCATACCTTAAAAATAAGAATAATTTTTTTCTAAAACAACTATGAGATATCATTTCACCCCAGTCAAAATAGCAAAATTTAACAGAACAGCAAGCAACAAATGCTGGCGAAGTTGTGGAGAAACTGGAACCCTGATTCACTGTTGGTGGGAGTGTAAAATGGTGCGACCCCTGTGGAGAGCAGTATGGCGCTTTCTCAAAAAGTTGCAAATAGAGAT